ATATTGCAATTGCACTTAATGCAGCATAAGCGCGGTTTCTTTTACTCTGTACCAGTTCTGTCATACCATAAGCAAAATCTGCAACAATAATATACTCGTAACAATGCAAAATGATTAATATTTCTTAGAGATGGAAGGAGACATTGTTTCGCTGTTTCATGAAAGCCTACTCACAGCCATGCTAAAGCTGTGTAGGATTTTTAAATATGGACTTTTCGTTTTCCAATTTATGCCATCCCAATGTTTTTTGCGTTTACTCTTAGCGTGCTCCCCCCCACCTTTATGTACATTTTGTATAGTTTTTCATATCACTTTATAACGACTGTCCGGTTCGCGACGTTTTCTGGATTGTGCAACTTTATGCAAAGGGGCCTAATGAAAGCCGCTTTTGAACTAGAATAAGGCTTTAGATTGGGCCACTAAAGCATACCTACCGCATCCCTACATACGTTACCTATTAAATAGATAAACAACTTGAAGCTTAATAATAAAAAGTTTGCTTTATTGTATTTTATCTGATAGATTCCAATACAGTAAAGAGTTTGTTCCATTGACTTCCAAATATAGGTGTAATTAATAAGTGTTCGACTCTCACAGAAAGCTTATTTCCTTTTACTTTAATCCGTCCGACCATTGTAATATATATTATGAGACGATGACTTGTACTTATGTCCGGTTTACTAGATCTCTGCAATGGACATGAAGCAAATCATTGTCTAGCCTTTTACTTTTTTAAGATTACAATTTGAAGATCTAGCACGAAAAGAAACGCAAACATTGTTTCTATCGGAAAGATTTTTATTTATTAAACGCGGCCCTTGATGTACTTTTACCACTTTGTTCGAGGCTTCCCGATCCTATATCGAAATATTGTCTCTGGCTTGCCTTAGATATTTCTAAACTTATATCCAGTATGTCCTCAACTTCAGCTAACTTCATTAGTTTGCAAGTCTTTTATTTCATTTCACAAATTTTGTAAATAATTTTCCACAAGTTCTACCTATTGCAACCTAAGTGAAAATTCAATTAATGCGGTTTTTACCTCAGTTGTAAGCGCAACATTGTCGAAAGCTATGCTATCGGTTTCCTATTCAAAAAAAATGTTAAGATTGTATGTTGACTGTTCGTCATACAATCAAGTATCTCGGACAGTTGGTCTAATCGATTTCCTATCGGACCCTTACCTGCTCAACAGATTTGCATTTATTTTGAATCTGACTCAATGCAGTTTACTAATAAAATGTTTGCAAAGCTTTATCCATTTTTACTAATTTTTTTAACTATGCGAATTACAATCACGGCATTTCTGGAATAAGAAGTCTGTAATAATATTTTTCCTTTTAGCCTAGAACTTATACTTTGCTGAGAAGCTTTGATAAGGAGATGTAAATATGAAACCGGAATTTTCCTTTTTATTTATTGGCATATGACAAAAGATTTCCAACTCACAAAAATGCAAAATTTCATATTACGGCATAGTTTGCGACAGGGTTGAACATAGTATGCTAAAGGAAGAGCAATGCCAACGGTATTCCTTTCCTCGAACGAAGCGGAGCGAGTCGCGGGAGATGAAAGGTGGACTCATTTTGAAAATTTCGTCATATCACCAGCATTGGCCGCGAAAGTGAATCGCTATAGCAAAACGGCGATTTTTTGTGATTGATGGAACCAGAATTGTGTGCGTATTGCAAAACCAATTCGCGACACTTTGGGAAGTGCTAGGCCATGCAACTCACTGACCATAGTCGGGACCTTCCGACGACCACTTGCTTGCAGCGGGGGATCATGTACTTGTCGGGCAACTTTAGAATTCGTAAGAAGATGCGAAAACACAATTCGATGAATGGTTGGCGGTAAAAAGAAAATATTTTCAAAGGCAAAGCATCCATAAATTATCAGAAAAATGAATAATTAGCGATCTCGAATAAAATATTTTCTGTATTTTCTATACAAAAATTCGATCTTTATAGTTACATACCTACATTTAAGAACTATACGCTCAATACGCTATGAAGATGAAGGCGTAACGTACTTATATGACGTGCATCGTCCACACTACGCTGAAATACATTAAGAAATACAAAACGAATTTTTTCAGATTGTCATTGTTAATTGTAATAAATTTTGATACCGATAGAAGTAAAGATGATTTTTGACTAAAATGTGTAGCTTAAGCATAACGTTGAAATCGTTGAAAGAAATAAAAGGAAATGTAAATAGATTCTCATGTGTGCGTTCATCAATAACGCACATGTTCATGATTTCTTGCACGATTATAACTATATATAAAGATCTTATTCCTCTGATAGAATACCATACGAATTGAGATAAATGATATTTGTGCACTTGTAGAGACGACTTAGATATGCGCTTTGCTTGATGACGAAATGAGTTGAATTTGAGCTTTTTGAATTGCCGCAAATACATTTTGCATTTCTAAGCAAAAGAGTGCATTAGTAATTGTGTACAACTATGATATTTGATGAAGGAAAATGTCATTAGATCGATTAAGTATTTGTACAAATATATGTGAAATTCTGTGTGCATTGAATGAAGACGTTAGTCGCGTAAAGTCGTCGTTACGGCTGCCATGAGTAAGTCCACCAAAAAGTTAATTACATTAATTGGTATTGATTAAGAATGACATGCAAGGCTGATGATAGTTAACGAAAGAACATGTATTAAGCTTAATTATGTAAAAATCAAGATCATTTTTGTTGTTGTTTTAAGAATATGAAAACGGCATCTTTTGGTGGTTGAAGTAGACAACAGATAAATATATGGAATTTAAGATCTCAAGATTAAATTGATAGTGTGTACCGAAGAAAAAAAAAGTTTATTAAAAATATTAAAAATTTTTGGTTTTTTTATTTTTTTTTCAATTCTCTTGCGCTCTCATGCAATATGTGTTTACTTGTTGTTGCGATCAATACACAGTAAGTGTACACCATGTTTTAGCGATTTTTTGATTTATATGGTGATTATAGAATTAATTGTATATCATATTTTAGTACACCCATTGACAGTAATAAATCTTTTGAAGGGCGCTTTATAGTAAGCTATAATTTACAGGAGAAAACAACATCAACGATGCAACAGAGACAGCAGCAGTGGCAACAGCAGCCAATCTATATATCCTTTTTTCGATGTTTTTGTACAAAAACTTAACTACCTTGGAGAAATACTCTTGTATGCGCACATATACACACACATCTTTTTGCAGCCCTTTTCATAATTTCGCCTTCTTGTTTAAAAATTGTAGCTCTTCAAGGAAATTTATGAACATATAGACTTATTATATATCCATATGCATGGTATATAAACTCGTCTTACTTCATCTTTCCTTCTTTTTGTTTTTTTTTTTCATTCTATGTAACAACACAACATGAAAATATTCGATTTTCAAGGTTAGATTTAAGCACTACATCAACCGCATATATAATATGAAACTTAAACTTCTCGATACTCTCTTATTGCATTTAGAAATTTTTATAAACAACGGCACGCATTACTCGTTGTTGATAAACATTTTTTTTTTTCTTGTGTTTCTCAATCTTGCCCGAGGGAAATTATTAGTTTGATATCGGAGAGAAAATATATAAGAAGAGATGAGGAAGAGAAGTGCACGAGAAGTCACAAAAAAAAAAAAAAAAACAAAGGAAAAAAAAAGGAAAAAATATACAAAAAATTACAGTTTGTGGACATTCGATATGTGGAGCAATTTTGTGATCAGCCATAATTGTTGCACATAAATCAAGAAGATTATTCGTCTGTTGTACTTCGTTTTATTTTTTTTTTTAAATAATGTAATGTTTAAATTATACGTTTTTCGCATATTTTTTTTTTTGTCTTTAGTAGATTATATGAATCCTCTCATGGGGAAAATCGGGAAAATTAAATAATGACTTGTTAAGAAAATTTGGAAATTCTCAAAGTTTTGAGTTGATTACATCGCTTACCATAGAGCACATACAGTACCTACATAATGGCATACGAGTATGTACGAGTATGCGATATGACCATACGGTCATTTGGACCTGTCGACGAGTTCGTGACTATCATCGCAAATTCTAAGCAGGCCAAATGGATGTGCGTGTTTGATTATTCATACTGGATATTTCATCTGGAGATTCAAAATGGTTTCAAAAAAACTTTTTTTCCAATTAGAAAACCTAATTTATCTCACAAAAGTTTACATCGTCCTTTTCAAAGATCGAAAATTCAAGGTTGAGGAAATTTACTACTAATCAAACTAACAAGTCGATACCTACTACGTCAGAGCAAATTATCCGTTCCTGACCTGGTAGATAGTTTAGAAGAAAGGGAAGAGATTGGTGTAATTGATCTTTGTATGAAGAGTTAATGAAGGATGCAGGTTGCTAAAGTGATTCTACCGGATCGTAAGGAGGAGAGTAAGAAAAATGTCTTCATGTCTTCCTTCAATTTCTCATTTATTGAGAACGTATTTCTGGTCACATTTTTTAATCCTCTTTTGCAATCGAATGCGAACAGTACGTGCCGAATTCCAACTTCATGTCTTTATAAAATATATTCAGGAATTCATATTTCTTGCTTTAACGACGCTGCTTGCACCACTATTGCTTATGGACGCCATAGATTATATCTTAATAGTAATAGCAAAAATGGTTGTGAATAAAGCTTGTTCAACGAAGAGTTGGTATTCTCTAAAGGTCATAATAGCGACATCTATATCCTATTATGCTATGAACTCATTTTGAGTGTGAGTTATGCAGCTGTCGCCTAAAGAAGTCAGTGAAATTAACTTTCTTGGATCGAAATAGTAGGTACATTATATAACATCTCGATAGTTATAATATCAAAAAGGCAAAAAAAATTTAAAAATCATTCATTCGTTCATTTTTTACTTTCCTTAAAAAGCAAAGATTCCCGCTCTCCACACTTATATAATAAATCAATTTCCTTTTCTTATTATTATTATTCCTTTCTTTTTGGTTTTTTTTTACACAAAAACAACTTACCTCTATTTTTAATTTCATTCACGACATTGCGATTGTTTTCATCACAAACACTTGTAACTGCTGTAGTTAGTGTATCCTTAGTATGGCATTCCTCACCGGTCGAGTTAGCATCTTCATCATCCTCATCAACTTCGTCATCCTCCTCGTCGTCATCATCATCTTCACCGGTTTCAACGCCATCGTCCTCATCATCGTCATCGACAACAACAGCAGTAGTAGTATTTGTGGTTGTAGTTAAACTATGTTTAGTTTTTGAAACGCCTGCAGAAGTTTTGGTGGCAGTTGTCTGTTTTGTAGATATTTCTGTTGTTGCTGCTGCGGTTGTTGTTACGACAACATCGTTATGTGACCATAATTTTGAATTACCGTTATTGCTACTGTTCCGTAGAATTGCTGTTGTTGTTGCCGTTGTCGTAACCGTTGTTGGTGTTGGTGTTACCGATATTGACGAAGAAATTGAATTTTTCTCCGTTACGTTAATGTTTGACGATTTATTAAGATTTAAGCCGGTAGGTATGAGACCGGTTGATTGAGTGGACGTTAAGGTGTCCTTGTGATATGAATTGTGACGATTGCGGGCTATATTTGAAGCGGAACATGCATCTGAATTTGTCGACTGCAGTATTGTGGTCGCTTGCGTGCCTGGAAATGTTGCATTTCGTTTATGGCGGCCTTTAGATTTGGGAAAGGCAACCAATATATTCAGCCACCATTTGGATTCCTCAGAACAAGTGCCCTTTACGAAGGTCACATGATCTGGTCCAGTAACAGCAATAGAATTGATATGACCCGTTACATCTTCGGCTGTAGTGACCTCCAAAACTTTAGTCATATCGATACAAGCTTGTGGCACGGTTTCTGGCTGTAATTAAACGATAAATTTATTTATTTTTTTTTTACGTTTTCTTACAAAAATTATATCATAAATGCTAACATAGAAATTTTTGAGGCTAAACTAATTTCATTATGTCTTTCTCGGCTGTTGTAAATAAAGTAAAATATGTTTGTTTTAAATTTTCTGCACAACACACACCACAGCCAGACCAGAGATTGCTGGGATCTGTTTATTTACAATAAACTTAGCCACTATCATATCGACTTGGAAAACAAGTTCTGACGGTGGCAGTAGGGTGCCAATTAGTATTCAATTTCCTACCATTTGTAACCCCCGTGTTTATGGTTTGCATTAAAAAAAAAAAAAAAAAAAAAAAAAAATTAAGAATTACAAAAAAATGAACCATAAAACTGTCCAAGAAAGTGTTACTTTCTCAGAAGGGAGCTTGCTTTTCCAATTCTCTTCTCCCTCTTAATCTTTTTCTTCTTCTTCTTTTGCTTGTCTATCTTCGCTTTCGTCTATAAGCATCGGTGGCAGATATTTTCAAATGTTTAAATCAACGTTGTAAATGTTAATTCAAAGTTGTTATCGGACATATCTAACATTTGTATATAACTGACTATAGAGACCAGAATTGTGACTGTTGTTTAGCTTTAGATATAATTTATGCCTAAAATATCCTTGTTACACTTGGCTATAAACGCGCTGCACAGCTCTATCCAACTGCAATGGCCATCGACTCTGGGCTTAATGTTAAATACGTGTCTACGTGTAGTTTTAATAAAAACCTGTTATGGGTTAATATGTTTTGTTGTTGCCTGCCTATTCGTTTGAACGTTGCGTATATGTTCGAAATTGTTATTGCAACTAATCTTAACAGTCAACCCATTTGCCAGACCACTTTCGATTACTTGTTTTGTGTCGTTGTTGCCGATTCTTTTTAGTGTTTTTTTCTTAATGTTTTTGCTGTTGTGGCCTTTAAATATGTCTGACAGCATCATTGATCGGTCGGTCCATTTGTCATATTGACCAAATTGTTGAATTTTTTTTTCTTCTTTTTTTTTTTTTATAGCATTTTTCAATAAAATCTTGTCGGTGCATACATATAGATGAGGCGCGATGTGTTGTAAATGCGTTTGTTGTTATTGCTTTGTTCCTTTTAGCTTTTAATAAATATTGACATGATTATTTATGTTCATTTAAGATATTTTCTTGTTTTATAGCTTATTTGGTGTTTAAAGACATGTTTTGTAGTTTTTTTTTTTTCTTTTTCTTTTATTAATTTTCCTTTGTTTTTTTTTGTTTTTTTTTATATATTATTTTTGTTTGAAGCTTAATTTGATCTTTAAAAAACACGATTTATAAGGGAATTTTCATTCGAGCTGCCAAAGTGATTGCAACTGTTTGAAGTTTTTTCGTCCCTATTTTCCGAACAACTCTGTCACCTAATGTAAATGTATTTCGGTGCAAATTACATACATCTTAAGGGAAATTTTAAAGAATACACTTTGCGTTTGATAGATCATTTTTTTTAAGGAAGTAGGAGTAGGAGGCATTGGCAGGAATAAGTCCCGTTATAATAATAAGAAATACATCGATTTCTAGAAAGGCTTGGATTTAATGAAAGCGTTTTAGAATTCAGTTAAACCTTCGAAGATTCTCTCTTCCCATTTCAAAACACAAATTTTTCGAGATTGAGAAAAGATGTTAAAAGGAAGGGAAATGAGATTAAATTAAATTCTTCTTAAATACAATAAAAGGTACACTACTTCAAGTCTTTAATTTAAATTTGGTGCTCACCAGTCCAAACACCCTTTGGGTTCATTATACTTATTATTTGGCATTTTTTCTTGAGGATAGATATAGACGAACAAGCTTCAATTTATTCTCATATCATAAAAGAAATGGGCGGAATATCCTAGAGGCATGACTGGTTACATGATATCATGAGAAAAAAAAAGAAATATATATACGTATGTATATATATATATGTAGACCGATTCTGTTAAATGCTTTTTCTGACAAAATTTTGATAAAAGAAAAAATTGCCGAACTTATGAAGCAATCGATGCATATAAAAGCGACGATGTACTTTCGACTGGCCTTAAATTTTAGCTTTGCTTCATAACAAAGTTCTTGTGGTCAAGAAGCCAAGATAAGCTCGATTCCATTCATATTCGTTTCCAACATTTTGTAGAGGAATGGTCTTATAATTACATTTAAATGTGCGCATTTCTTACTAGCAACAGGGGAAAGCAATATTTGGATATATTCGGGCGATATGTTTGTGCCTTGACTTTCAACTTCCGGAGTAAAATGATTTATTAAATATACTCGAATATGGGGTCGTTCTTTCGCTCTGTTTAGTTCGATGTCCCTTGACGATTAAAGGCGGAATTGTTAGGGTTCATCTTCCATTATTTCAGTGAAACTTTAAACTGATATTGTTCTAATTGGTGTAGTAATGAGCCATTCCATCATTTTGAAACTTCACATATGGACATTGATCAGGAGAGTATACATTTATATATTTAATTTCCGTTAGTTTGATTTTTTTCGTTTGGATATTGATTCGATCGGATCGGAATATTGATTTGAAATGATGTAACATTTTCAGTAAAAGATGGATGGGGTATACTAGCTAGTTTTTTTATTATAACAAATGATTTAAGGGATGGATGTTACACGGTAATGGTCAGAAAGAAATGAGGAAAGAAAAACGAGACTAAGAGATAGTCAGTGGCCGCGGCTCCATGAGGGTAAATGTTATGCCTTTTTGTTTGCAATGCCGAGGGAAAACTTTTGTGGACGCGATGCGATCTAACAATTTCTGGCCTACACGAGGAGCTTGAATCGATTTTATCAATCTTGTCTCTCTAGTGATCAATCATCTGTTAAGTATAACAAAAATCATCTGTTAAGAATAAATGCCAAATTTAAACACTTTGTTATTTAGTTTTAATAAACATTAAAAAAAAGGTTTATTCAAGCGTAAAATAAACCCTGGCTTTGTAATATCAATTATTCAAGTATATAAAATAACAGACATGTATTCAAATCAGTTTTATTCTGCATAGAGGGTTTTTATTGGAATGCTTTTGCTTGCTAAGATTAATCCAGAAGTGAAATAGAAAAGAAAATCAACGCTTGGCGTACAGAGTTATATATCTTTCATAATCGACAGATATAATGAAAAATGTAGAAGTAAAAATGAAAAATAAAAAAAGTTATCTATCTTCATATGCTTGTATTTATTGAGAACCCATCGAAATTTGGCATCAACCAGCTCTGTATGTATACGTAGTGAGCTTCATCATCATTTTTTGGTGATAAAACAAATGCCTTATTTAATTTAAATTTTTATTGAACACTAGACGGTGGATGCTGTTGCCCAAAAGTGTAAAGTTATTGAAGAGAAAGGGAAGAACATTGATTGCAGATGGTTCTTTTCGATACGTTATTTCATACATGAAATCTTGTGAAAGCTCGAGAAACAAGAAAATTGATTTAAGGGACACCGTGACGGGTAAAAGCTCAATAATTTCCAAACTTTTTTTAAATCTCTTTGTTTTTATGGGCGAATCGTTTTCTAATAGAAAAAGTTTAACGTCTTATTAAGCACGGTTTGCACCTGAAAGATGAATGATTGAATGAATGATTATAAAGGGGAGAGGATGACAAATTTAATTAATTTATGCTGTCATGCCGGCTAAGAGTTTGTATACTTGATGTGTTTTTAAAACGTAATAGTAATTAAATAACACGACCAACAGCATCAGCTTGAGCGATGCATATTTTCATCATTCCTGACCTATATATTGGATTTGAATGTTTAATGCTTGAACAAAACGCTTTTAAATTAAATTGTCGTAATAAATTCATTTATGTATGCTACTCGAGTCATTTGTGCAGTGAGGCAATTAAAGAATCTGCCTTAAATGAAATAAGAATATAAAAATTTTACATTTTATTAATTTACATGTAAATGTGTCACTCGGTTACTAAAAATGAAATACCCTGTCTAGACATTTAAATTATAATTTATTTCATCTTATGTTTTATAAGAAAAAATGATTTAATATAAATGAAATGATACTAACATGCTCATCCACCGAATATGTGAGTTCACCGTCATCATACAAAACGAACCATCTTCGCTGCCATCTCTGCAAATGAAAGAGATAAGAAAACAGAAGAATACATAAGAATTAATATTAATCTTCTCGTGAAATGTGAAAATGTGTGTTTTTCAACTAATAAAAGAATATACAATAAATACTCTTTTAAAGGCAATTCATACAGGAAAACAGACTTTATATATAAATATATATATGTACATAAGATGTTACCACCAGAGTAACTCGATGCAATACAATGTGGTTTTTTTTGTTTTTTTTTTGTTTATGCAATTTCCGCGTATAGCACTCATCGCCACAGATATCCTAAATAAATATTTATACAATTGACACTTTATTGCGGCAGCAAATATAGGTCATATACAATAGTCTTTTTTTTTTTTTTTTCTTTTTCATTCCAAGTAAAGAGTTCATTATTAAGAATTCCGCAAATAAAATTTCTTTTGGCTGTCAATGATTTTATTATGGTTATTACGTAACAGTAGCTTTGCAAGACAAAAACCATCAAACTTTGTCTGAAACCTATTTACAGTGTTTACAGCACTTAGGAAGGGCTTAAGATAGGCACATCTTCCATTATACGAATTGATTCAAAATCACCTTCTTAATCGACTTAAACTTGTCTGTCCATCTGTCCGTCTTGTTTTCTTGTGTTTAATGTACGGTCCGGTGACGTGTTTCGGCCCAAGTCTTTCGAGCACTTTCCACATAACGGTAAGCTGATGTCGGGTATTTAATGATGGTGAGCCATGATCCACTGTAGTGTTTTTGCCTGTTTTCTTTGTTCTCTTTAAGACAATCGTGCTAATGCATACAGAAAACAAGTAAAAACATCGTAGCCGACCATTAAGTACCCTATACAACTTCGACTAATACACCGAAAATTGATAATTCTTTTCATGCCAAGGCCCACTTGGATTTTGTCGCCATGTAAGAGTTTACATCTGATGAGAACGCCCATGTAAGCGATGAAACGATGCAAAAAAATTTTTTTCTACGGTCAATTTTGTATGCCAAATAGTTACTGTGGAAGAATTTTTCAAAACTTTTCCCTTATTGCCAAAGGAATTATGGTTCATGGAATGAAGTTCAAAAAATTGATCCATGTGGTTCATGTCTGATCTATTTAATTTCTATGTCCAATTATGCTTATCAATCAACTTTCATCAAAAGATATATAAAATTGAATACATTTGCCAAATAACAAAACCCTACTTTTATGACCTGTGGCCCCTTTTTTAATGACAATCCTTATACGAAGTGGAATCCAAAAAATAATCCAACTCAAATTCAATTACTTGAATTACTATTAATTCAAGCAGTTATGTCAACTTTCGCCATAAATATTCACCGTAAGAAAATTGAGTTTTGAAAATAACGGTTGTGTGGAAGCGGGTTCAAAAATTGGGTTAGCCTATTCAAATTTTTCACATCAGTTTATAATTCTGAAATACTATACTTCCAATTTTAAAAATGTTATTTTTTTTCTTATGATGCATTTTCAAAATCCCATCCATTCCAATAGATTTGGCCTTTGGACCGAAGGATGTGAGTGCACCAAATCTCCTCAGAATATTTAAATAAATTACGATATGCAAGCTAAACACAAAAAGAGATGGGCGGAGATCGGATGGACAGACGGACGGACAAGCTTAGATTGGCATAATAAAATGTCGTAAGCCCTTCGGAGTGTTACACACATTTACGCAAATTTAATGTATCTAGCATCAGAAGTGCTGTAGCGTACAGTACGTGGTGGAAGATTTTCGAGGATCGTCACAATTAAAAGCAAACATAGACTGTTTACGTAATTATTTATATATATCTGGCGACTGCGAAGCTTCGTTCTTTTTTTTCAGCAAAATTCAAATCCAGTTATATTTGAATTAAATCACATTTGTCCCATTTAGGTCAGTCTGACACGTCGCTAATCGCGTAGGGTGAACGAAATTATCTGAGCAGATTGGAGCGACACATAACGCACTGTTCTTTTTCAATCTTAAGAAACGCGAATACAAACTCTTTCCTGATATCAATCCCGGCTATACTGCCTTTTGTGTACCATAATCATTTTTCATTTCTTCGAAAATATTCTTGATTTGACTTCGTTTCGCTACCTAAACGATATGCGCGCTGCTGATTTTGACACATCACATTCTTCCCACACACTACGAATTTTTGCACAAGACTGTTCAGCGTTGTGAAATATATCATATTTTTTCAGAATTTTGGATAATTTTCAAAACACAATTACTTTCAATTAAATTAACAAATATCACAATGTTTTTTTTAATTATCCACGGTATGTTACTCTACATTCGCGCAATAAGAGGGCATAATAGAGTTAACGGTGACCGTGACCGGACAGTGCCGTGAATAAGTAAACATTTATAGACGAGAAGAGGAAAGGTTTCCAAACATAATTAAGCGTAACACAATTGCAATAAATACAAAGCAAAAATAATTAAGAACGATAAAACTGTCAAGACAATAAAAAAAGTTTAATAATAAACTTCGGAAACACTAACACTACGGTTAATTATAACATAAAGATAAAAGTGATCTACACTTTTGGTAGTTTCCTATACAAACTATTGCTTTCGCAACTGATCAAATTTTAATGCAAAACGAGTACCGACAGCGCTAAAATTAATCCAAATTTCCTTTCTTCGTTAAAGGTACTAAAAGGATTCGTCTTAAATCCGATTTACAGATCCGTGAAGCATATTTCATCCATGTCTAGTGAGTAGGAATATCGGGTTTAAGTTAGGTGCAAAATCTGGATGACTTCTCACAAACGTGACCACCCTTAAGCATTCATAACGTTGCACGCTACCTTTCATTCTATTGTCTTAAAGGGATTGCCTTAAGGGGCGGACGCGCGTCCTCAAAAGTGCAGTGGGATGGCTCGAATTGAAGATGAAGATACATTTTAATAATTTAGCCCGTCAAGAGGTAATAAGGACAGTGCCCTTTTGAACGTGTAGGCAATGTTGGCATATAAAACCTCTGCATCCAAAATGGCGGATGGCAGACAGGTAAACAAGCCAACCGAGCTACTCTCTAATAAGTCAACATTGTACGCTGTCCTCGGGCAGTGTTGCCGTGTCTTCTAGCAAACCTGAGCATCATATGTTGCACAGGCACCCAAGAGTCTATGGTTCATGAAGCAAACGGCCTGTCTTGATCCCAGTTAGACCTAAGAATCCGGCTGCTCGGCGAGTTCCGTTAACTTCGGCCGAATCATGTTAAATTGTTATACAATTTCTTTGTTTAGCAATAGCTTTTCTTTTACCTACTTATACAAAACTCTCCAGCTAACCGATTGCACATTCTCAGTTCTATAATAAAATTAAGTTGGTTGAAACAGTACGATTAAAACTGATTGAACATACCGTCGCGCCGATGATAGCGTACGTTATAATGATTCATTTACTTTGGAATACGTTGAGAAGGTAGGTTAAACGCGAAGTAAGTGACGAAGAGTATTCTCCTTATCGGATCATAATTCGTCCGAGATTTAACACAATACCTGAACTGGGTTATGTATGCTCAGAAATTGTTTCTTTGATTACTTTTCAATGCGTACTTTTTGTTGGCCTAAATGCGTACAAAAAACTAGACATAATAGTGTGCTTATATAAAAATTGCAATAATTCAAACTTTCAACAAAAGGCTCAACCCTTGTAATGGTAATTCTATTCAGCTAGAAGGCGTTGGTTGTAATTTTATACAATTACCATTGCGCCAGTCATTCGCAGAGACATCCTTGTGCTTGTCTAAAGAAATTATATATCATTTTGAAAAATAACAACAATAACAACGAGGCAAAAACACTTGGAAACATTAAATCAGTGTGAAAAAAAGCTCTTGGTTATTACAACTCATTCTTCGCAGTGAGTGTGGGAGATTGCAAAGAATCAGCTTATATATATATATATATACCTCTCTATTTTTCGTTATATTTTTCCAAAGATGTTTACTAAGGCATTATTATCTGCGTATAAAAGAAACCCAGCCAAAGGAGTTTTATGCAAATTGGCTTAAAGAAAATTTTTAATAATTGAATTTGTTTTTGAAACCATTTCGGTTTAAGAGACTATTTAAAATTTGTTTAAGAGTTTATTTAAGTAAATGCTTAAATTTCTTCGTTTGTTTAAGTCAGTACTTGCTCGAGAGAAGGTCGAGCTAAAGCGAAATCAAGCGATGAAATATCCGTAACCAATTTTTCTTCTTCATGTTAGTTCACATTGGTTTTTACAGCAATATTATGCTCAGAGTTGATTTTCAGTTTTCAAATCGAGTGACTTACCATAATTAGTTAATTTCTTATTAATAATCAATGGTGGACGCAGCTTGACCACATTTGAAAGGCTACGTTTTAAGCTATCATCAATCTTATAATGGGAAATGCATATCTTCCTCTGTTTCTTGTAGTTACACATCCAAGCCTCATGTAAGCAGGCTAATCGGATAGAAGGGTTACGTGCGTGTTAGTAATGGGAAATTATAAAAAGATCTTATAGATGGCTGAAAAAGCAACAAAACGACGGCCAAGAAAGGAAATTAAATATGTACAAATAGTTTGAAAGGAAATCAAACGAGCTCTGGAAAACCAAGCATCGAAGAGTCTTAGATTGAGATCTCAAAATTTCTTAGTTTAATTTTCCATTCTATACGTGGTCAAAACTAAATTTTCATTAGCATCTGCACCTTAAGGTAAATTCGAGTTTGCTCTATCCACCCCCAAAGGATTCGCGTAATCTTCATTGGCAAGCTATTTTGGGAGCAGTACATCGAAGTCACATCAGTAAAAGCTTTCAGCTATAAAAAAGATTTTTTGTTCAGTTCGGGATTGTACTTTCATGATAGAACTTCAGCTTTTAAAAAATGCTTATAGTGCGCATACAACATTTCAAAAAAAAAAACAAAAGCAGACTAAATTCGATTTTTTCTAACTGCCGAGAGCCTAGGCTCGGTGTAGAGTTGCATAGTAAGCGAGTGTCTGACCCAAAGACAGACAGAGGTTA